GAAAGGAGGAAGCTGACTGAGGTTTTGACCGAAGCTTGCTCAACTGTTATTGGAGCAGAGCAAAAAGGGGCGGGACTAAAGAAGAGTCAGTTTCAGAAGATTTCTAAGACAAATGCAAGTGTACAACAATTTCTATGAGGCATCAAGTTCAACATTTTTGCTTGTATACAAGCTTTACAACCTAAAGTTGCAGTAGGTAATTTGTATTAAAAATATACTGTATTTGCTGTATATTTGATGGATACAGTTGGTCTGACCTGCTGACCGTGGGGCTGTGAGGACAGTGGTAGTGATGCCATACAGCCACAGCTGTGTGTGGACATAGCACATACTGGTTTTCCTCCCAGCATCTCCTCATGGTCTCCAGGATCCCTTCATCACTCACTGTTCCAGTTGATAAAACCTGTGACAACTGAAGGTAAAACAGAGGGAAAGATCATAAAAGTATTACGGTGGTAGATGTGGTCTTGCTAGATGTTTAGAGGATAAGCATGTGTGGATGTATATAGTACATGTTGAATGATTGGTACCAGTTTGCGGTGGCTTTCAGGGAGAGAGTGTCTACGTGTTTGTTGAAACTCCTCCATCATGTTCTTCACTGAGGCTCCGTCTCTGCCCAGCAGCAGCCAGAACACTCGCTCCATGTTGTAAGGGTCCTACAGAGTGACACAGCATCCTGGATGAGCATCTAAATACAATATTTAATTTGTTATGGCTTTATATGAATCAGTAACTTTATGTGGAAGGATGGTTTGATCATTCTGTCCCATAGTCAAGAACAAGATATCTTAACGACCACTGATATGTCAACCTAGTATGGACATTAACTGTCCGCAGAGGATAAATCCTAAAGGTTTTGAGTGACCCCTGCCTCTCCTCTAGTGCCAGTGGACAAAAATTTGCACTCAACAAATATGAAAATTGTATATGCTGACAGCAGCTTGTTACTGATTCAGGAATAGTTTTGTCTGTCAGAATGCAGCAATTATTCATATGTTTGTTCCATTGCTGCATAACGGATGCTGAACTTCTAGGTTTTGTAAGCTGGACTTTAGAATTAACTAACTTCCAGATGGCAACCAAATGAAATAAAATTGTTTTTAATGAAAGGCTACAGAGGTAATACCAACCAATTATATCAGGATTTAAGCAAAGAGTCTCCCCTGCACGGTGGACACCTTCAAGTCTGACAACACGTCTTGTAACAGTCGAAACAACTCTTTTTAGATCATCTCTCGAAAAATCTAGAGATGTATGCTGAATGCAGGCTGTGTAAAGGTGTTACCTGGATGTCTATGGCAGGGGCCAAAGTCTGTGTGACATCAGCTGCCATGGAGAAGTCGCCAGTGGTTACCGTTCTGTGCACTATGTCATTAGAATTCACCATGGCAACCAGCTTCAGGGGCAACCCCATCTGCTTTACAATGTAGCCGGCTGATACAGACAGACAAACAGACATGGCAAAAAGAAAACACAGTAAGCTTTAGTAATCACAGAATGAATTTCTGGGAGAGTAATCATCTAATCCAGTTCCCTACCAGCAGAGATCGACTCACCTGCGATGTTCCCCCCCCCTCCAGTGGGCACCACCACCTCCAGCTCAGGCAGGTCTCCACCAGCCTGCTCTATACCACTGAGCTCCAGGTAGGCGTAGATGAAGTGGGCGAGCTGGATCATGACTCTAGACCAGTTGACCGAGTTGAGACTCATAAGGCCGTGAGACTTGACCAGCACCTGGTCAGCAAAGAGACGGCGCAGGGGCTGGTCTATGTCATCTGAGCTGCCGTCCGCTGCGACGGTAAAAACACACTCGATTGTAATAAAATTGTGTCCTTTTGGTGAAAGAGCAGCCATTGGACTACAGCTGCTTTCGGTTTACCTGCAAACACGTGGATGTTGTCCTCCAGGCAGGTGATCATGTGTTTCTCTTGAACTGGAGTGATGCGTCCGCGGGGGTAAACCACCAGCACATCCAACCCACTGAGACCTTTTGCACTCTGGATGGCCGATCCTCCTGTGTCTCCTGATGTACCTGGAGAGGAAAACCACCAAGTGGACTGACTTCAGACTCACTACATGGATTATCTCTTATACTCTGTTTAGCCTCGGTGCTTCTTGTTTCCTCTTGGAAGCATAACGTGCTAGTAAAAGATGTTTTGTTTTCAGTTTACATATTTTCTCTTTTCTTTTTATTCTGTGTGCATTTCTGTTTATGGGTCTAATACAGAAATGACAGAATGACATACACAACGGATACTCATGAAACTCATTAATAACATTTCTGCTTAATTTGACGATTAATTTGTGCTTAAAGGTTATATACAAAATTCACTTACCACTAGATGTCGCATTAGAGCACCAACATCTCGGACCAAAACAATGGACCAACCAGACTCCATTGACAAAATTTTACCTGACAGATAATTGTAAAACACACTTCAAACTGGAAAGAAACAAAATAAATCGCACAAAAACCGTCTTTGTTAGTCTTTCCTAAAATCACCAACTATGGTTAAAATAAACCCTCAGTTCACCGATGCAGAAGAGAAAATATCCCTGAAACAGGCTGCTGTGGCCGCCATGTAACGTTAGTTAATCCTTGGGGACAAACACTCCATCTAACTACACCCTTTAAACGTTGTTTTTTCCACTGACAAGCTCAGATTGTTGTTTTTTCGACTGACAAGCTTGTTGTTTTAACATTATGGAACAGAGATAGACCTTTTGTTCAACCAGAAACAGCTGTAATATCACTATCATTCTCCACAAGACAAAAATGCTAATTTTACCAAGAGTCTTTGTTCATCTTTCAGTGGCTCTACTCAGCTGCACATGGAGCAGACCAGCTATAGAAACAAACCACAGAGAGGCTGTGATAGCAACACAGGCAGAGGGAGAGTGACACCATGACTGCACTATATCTTTACATAGAGAACAGTCGACAGCTGCTATATTCATGTTTTAAATCTCTCAGATATATATACACATATAAACACACAAATACTCTGTCCAGCTGCCAGAAATACTCACTAGAGCACCAAATGTGGATTGTGGATCCCTGTTTTAAGCTTGTAACCTTTAACATTTACCAATTTATGCAGTATGCATTTATGCTACCGCGTTCTCGGTTTTACGTGCGTCTGCACGCTCGCCATATTGGGCAGGTCAAGATCCACCTGTAAACAATACTGAGAGGTGCAGACTTCGCTAAGAAATTGACTGTAACTCACTTAATTCTGAACCGATTGTCATAAAATTTGGTTTGTTATAAACATTTGGGGTGGAGCTAGTCAGCTCTATGGCAAAAAAACAAGAGTCACCACCAATGCTGAAGGCGTGTGCGGAGTGTGACCAAACAATCAGACGGAATATTCAAAACAAAAAAACAGCAACAATTTTGGCCAAAATACAGAATGAAAACAATGAATAAATATTGACAAATCATTATTTATCATTATTATTTATTTCTGATTCATTTTTTCATTTCCAAACATTTTAATTTAATTTGTAATTTGTTCTTTATCATTATTATTATTATTATTATTATTATTATTATTATTGTTATCATTATTCGTATTACTAGTATTATTATTATTATTATTATTACC